TGATTTGCTTAAATACAGATAATACGATGACATTAACAAATAATACCACAATTAATAATTGATATCAAGCATATGCACAACTGTTTTCTGTTTTACAACCTTTTTTTTTCTTCTTTTTTTTTGTAGGCATTTTATGGAAACTTTACAACATTTCTGAAATGAGAAAAAAAAAAATTAAACATTTTGTCGGTACATTTTTCAACAATTTACTGTGACTGTACAGATCTTCCCTGTTTTAGTAAATCACAGATAATCTTTAATAAACTCACTCCCCTCCAAAAAAAGGTATTAATTTACACATTAAACACTAAACAATTTCTAACATTGTAGAAAAATAAAAAATAAAAAAATAAATAAAATGAAAAAAATGTCCAAAATAAATTTCTGTTTGGATTGATGTTTGCAGACATTTAATGGCAACTTCACTACCATGAAAATACTAAAACAGAGCAGGAGCAATGTTATATTTAATTAAATATTTGTAGATTTTTCTGGCTAGTAGTGATATTTTTCGTTTTAATTACATTCCAATAAGTAAATGAATAAAAGCAGCTGCATGTTTGAGGTATCTGTGTATTAACTCTTCCTTGTAAACCATATCTTGCTTTAAATCGTCATGTTTCTGCTGTATAATTGAAGGACATCGTCTTTCTTCGATGTCCGTCGTCTTGTTTGTTGCCGACGCGAGCCGGAGCTGCAGAATCCGACTGGAGCAAACCTCCAGCTCGTGCCTGCAGGCGATGCAACACAAAGCAGAGGCCTGTTGGTGCAAACGAGGCCGAGTGTGCCGCTTTAATCAAGCCTCTCCGGGTTTGGTCACAGCAGGTAGCACAGAGAGATGTGATTGGTGGGACTCTGAGCTGCCTCCTGCACCATCGCCGACGCGCTGCACATGTGGTCACGGCTGCCGCCTCTGGCTGCAGATAAGCAGCTGAAATCCTTCCTGTTCTGTCTTTACCGGGCCGACGTGCAGGTTCTGTCCGTTTAAAGCGCGCGGCCTCTCTTTCTAAATCCCGGTGTTTGTTTCACACTTTGGCCCACGTCCTGCGCTCTCAGCCCGGCTGTAGCCCTGAGCAGGAATCAGATTAGTGCAAAGAGGAATTATTCTTATTATGTTCCCAGCCAAGGTTAGCATTAACTCCTGTACTCTTTATTTGTTAATTACAAATTAATCCCCTGCATTGGTTACTACTTCTCAAACGGAGGATCAAACGGCTTTACGATAATTACCACGTATCCTCCATAAAGCACCTGTTGATCCCGACATCCCATAATAAGGAGGAAAATACACATGCACATAGTAAATGGAAAAAAATAAATAAAAGAGAGCAAGAGAGATAATATTACAACAGCACCAGAGAAAAATAATNTACCTGTTCAGCTCGTGTCTCTTTAAGGCCTCCCAGAAGGCCGGCTTTGCTCTGATTGGTCAGAGGAGGCCAGGTAACGCTGGCTAGCAGCAGGTGTTACATGCTGATGTAGATACGAGATGGACTTAAACGTGCAGCTTCAGGCGGGTGAGCAGCAGAGCTTCTGGTTTGTTGCTGCACACGAAGCAGATGCATAAAAATAAAAGACCAGCTGAAATCCAGCATAATGAAGATGCTTAAATTAATTCAGCACAATTAGCACCTGAAAGCTCCCGTACATGTCATCCTCTGAAGGCTCCTCTGTAAGATCAGTGCATCGCCGTGTTGTTGACCAGGAAGCCTGATCCGGCAGCGAGTCCCGCCTCGAGGCTGCTCCGCTAAGTCTGGCCTGAGGGCCAGAGGCGGCCTCGACTCAGGCGGTCAGCGCTCCGACTAACGGACTCTCCGCGGCCTTTGCTTCTGTTTCATCTCCTCTCGGTGTTGGTACCTGCAGGCCGGCGGCTCTCCGGCCGGCCTCCCTGACAGACACTTTGTTGGCGTCGGGGGGCGAGGAGCTCGACGGTCGGAGCCAAACCGATTTCCTCGGTGGCTCTGCTGCTGGCGCTCTGTGAGGCTGACGGGCCAGACTGGGCTGCTTCCCTCCTCATTACTGCGGCGTTCGTCACAGAATGGGATGCGATTGTTGGTGTTGTTCGGACCCTTTGTGGCGCCGTGAACAAGGGATGTGTGCTGGTTTGGGTCACGTAGAACCGATGTACGCTGGGTGGAGGTTCTCTGAGTGTTGATGAACACGTCAAAGTAAATAAAACACAGTTTGTCTCCTCTGTTGGGCTTTAGTTCTGCCCAGAACGCTGAATGTTGTCACTGGAAAAAAACCCGATCTGTTGCAGAAGAACCACAAAGACGCTTTTAGCAAGAAGTTCTTCAAGAAACCCAACAGCTGTCTTGAAAAACCATCAAAAAACTGTTAATGTAGGCGCCTAAGGAGAGCAAATGTTCTTACAGGAACCATATTCTGAACTTCTTTGAATGCTTTTTAATGAGTTTTTCCAAATTAAATGGTACTTTAATCAAATTCATATGTGTTGTTTATCACCGTTTGTACTTTTCAGACAAGTAAGTGATAAAAACTGTCGCCATGAGGAGGAACGTAGAACCCCAGAACCTTCATGAACTTAAAAAGAAGAAACATCACATGCATTTCAGAGATAAACTGTATGAGATGCAGCTAAAGATTTGGGTAATTATGGACGTTTATCTGATGATTAACTGGAGAAAATGAAGAGAAGCGCTACCTGCCACTAAACCTCCAATAAAAACAGAGTCTTTGGTGCTTTACAGGAAGCAGGTGAAGAACCATGGCGGCAGTAAAGAGCTTCTGAAGAACCCTTCATCTCCCGAGAGCGTTTAGATGAAACCGATCTTCTCAGGGCTTAAATATCTCATTTCTAAAGCAGTTTCTCACGTATTTATTTCTACTTTAACTCAACGTCGTGAAGCCGCTTCTCCATAAACTTCAATCAGCCGCTTCCATGTAAATAAAAGTCGAGCTGCACTTTTCACCCGACGTCCTCTTTGATCGGCAGCCTCCTCGCGCTCGACCTCATGATTCAGGCTTTTCTCAGCCTCGAGACGCATCAGGTCTAAACTGAGTCACGACGTTGAGACGCAGCGATTTGTGTCCCGGATGAGTCAGGTTCTGGCACATCTGCTCTCAGAAACAATCGATACGGAGCCAACGCTGTCAGGATTTATGCATATTAGGCCTATTTTTGGGGGGAAGTTACCAGGAAGAGGTTGTTTGTTCGCTCAGGAGGTGGTTTCTAGATGTTTACGTCGGATGTGTTTGTGTCCTCCAGGTGCTACCTGTTGGATGGGATCTCTAAAGGAGCCTGGCTCAACCGCTCCAGCATCATATTCGCAGGGAAGGACAAGTGGTCCGTGGACCCCCGGGTGTCCATCGTGTCCAGCGTGGGCGACAAACACGAGTACAGCCTCCAGATACAGAAGGTGGACGTTACCGACGACGGCCAGTACACCTGCTCCATCCAGAGCGAGCGCAACCCGCGGCCGAAGCTGCTCAACCTCATCGTGAAAGGTGAGTCCGCTGAACCCGGTCGTCTACGGCGTCTACGGCGTCTATGGCGTCCTGTTTGCTGCTGGCAGGAGGGAAAGCTTGTAGCCCTCAGTTTGTGCCTGCAGGCGATGCAGCACAGAAAAGATTCTTGTTGGTGCAAACGAGGCCGATGGCAGCTTTAATCAGGCCACAAAGTCTGAGGAGTTATTATCCGCTGAAGGCTTCCAGAGGCAGGTGGCAAACGCAGAAACATCAGAATGAGCTGCGTTTGTGCTCAAGTAACAAGTTATTATTTTATGTTTTTGGTCGACTTGAACAAGTTTTCATGCTTTAATGCCTAAAAACAAAACTTTTTTAATACTATACACAATAAAATATGATGAAAAAACACAAGTAAAACATTTTTAACAGTAATTTTCTCAAACATCACCACAGCAGTCTGTCAACGGCACCAAAAAATATTTATATATACAGATTTATTTATTAATTTTATT